AAGTTTGAAAACCACTGCTTTAGATCTATCACCCTTTATTAAATTTGATTATTATTATCATTCATCGGAATGCCGGTGACAAAGTTACTAACAATAGAAATGCAGCGTTGTGATGTTTTCAAAGATTTTCTTACTGCAGTCGAACCTGCCCTGACCTGACGGCCACCTGTACAAACGGCCACTTTCCATGGCGTTTTTTCTATATGAGCAATTGCCAAAACGTGAGACTCTCTTGAGACTCAGTGGTGCAAAAAAATTTTTCTGACCAATTTGACTCCCTTTTCTGTCAGTCACAGATTGACGTTTAGTGCTCATATTCCTAGAGTATCAGAGCAAGCAGATGTAGGGTGTTGGAGATATGGGTCCATTGGTTTGGCAACCACTGTATTTCTTGTATATATATTATATGTAACAGTGATGACAAAAAAAGATATTTTGGACTTTAAATTCCATTTGTTTAGTAAACAAAGACTTTGTACACTATGAATTCCATTCATAATGGTTATATAAATGACAAGCTTTGTAACAATGATGCAGTGCACAGAACATGTCATCATTGTTATGTACAAGAAAGGACACACATTGGACATTATCTTTGACAACACATCACAATAGTGAAAGGCTGTACAAATACAGTTATCAAAGCCTCAGTACCAGAAAAACACCTGTGTAAATCGATTTTTAAACTAATATGAGGCAAAAGCACAAAATCAATGGAGCTGACTTGTACATAACAGTGATGACAAACATGAATTGTATAACAATGATGACACAATGTACAGGAAAAGACAAAGTCATGCCTCCAGAGAGAAAAGCGCACTCTAAGAATAAAAAAAACAACCCAGGAGAGGTTTCTTTTGCTTTGAAACTGATATCAGGTCATATCAAAGACAGTGGACAATCACAATTATGTTGCTAATTATGACAAACAGTACTCGTACATAACAGTGATGACAAAACATACTGGGAAAAGGTAAAATCATGCCTACAAAGAACAAATTTGCACTATGAGATACACAGATCAATAAAGGCATATTTTGCTTCTAAATGAATCTTGCATGTATGAAATATATTATGTTGAAAACTTGCTGATATTAGCAATGATGACAAATATTACTTGTACATAACAATGATGACACAATGTATTGAAAAAAGGCATATCATACCAACAAAGGACAAATGTGTACTTTTAAGTTAGATAAACAAGGACATGTTTGTTTATTTGTTTAATTGAGAAAAGAGAGCACACATGACTTTAAAAAATGTTTGCTGTTAGGACAATGTAATTTCTAGTACGTCAGTCAGTCTTGTACGACTGCATGACGACACCCCAAACGTCATTACTAAGCACAAAAGCTAAATCTATAACCACAGAAATGACCCATCTCTCGAAGTTTGTTCACATATCACACTCTTGTTCCAGGAATTCAGTGTAAACACCGCAATTTCACTAAAATATTCAACAGAGTAGCCTAAAAACACGCGAAACAGTCCTGTACGTCACATTCAACGTAAGATTCACCCGACGCTGACGGCAATGACTACTTTCGTTTTTCTCTTTCCGCCGTTGCGTCCGCTGTTGTGGGGAAGCGGGTAAGGGGAAGTCACTCGAGAAAACAATTATATCCGTGCACTGTTGATGACCCGTTCAAAACAAAAGTGGGCTGAAATTTGGACTTCCGGTACGTCGCAAGGTGACGACGATCACGGCGAATGTTAAACAGCCAACCGAAATCGTAGATCTAGGAACCTGATGTTCCTTTCGCGCATCGCGGCTTTTGAAGTTTTGAATACACGCCGAAAAGCAAAAAGATTTAACCAGCTACGGGGATTCTACTGAAAAATATTGGTGTTTTCTTAAACACCTAGTCCATGACGACAATACTGACTCACAAGTGATCCGAATTGTTCGTTTATTTGCAAACAAATAAACCGACTTCTTGAGCAAGTGAACCTTTCTTGATGACAATTAGCATAGGATCAAAGCACACGTAAAAAAAAACCCACCCAAAAATACAAAATATGGGACATTCTTAGAAGTTTGCATTGGTGCGTTCAAAATGACAGTCCAGGATTCACTAAAAAACGACCATTTTTGGCACAAAATTTACAAACTCAAGATTGTAAAGCTGACATGGGGTCTGAAACTGCTAATGCAGGTTCTACATCCTATACTTGACATGTGTATAAGTTTTGGAGGAATAAATACTAATGCATCACATTTTATGCACACTAATGTGAGATTTTCGTGTGTGTTTTTCCCCACGTTTTGTCAATGACTCATATATAAGTTAACTGTGAAAACGGGCACCTGTCCAACGCAGCTGCCATATTTTAACACACAACCCCTATCATACCAAGCAATAACACCTGTCTTAGACGGCCACCTTAGTGACTGTATTACGTTTTGTCATAAATTGTGCACTGGCTCCTGGTGTTCTGGGCGAGCCATCATTATCCAATCACTTGTTGTTAGGTAGTCCCTCCAACCGATCATGTTGTGTAGGCCCCTCCCACTGTTGACCAATAGGTAACAAATTTTCAGCTGCTGGTGAGGTAAGCGTGTGATCCCTCATAACCCATATAAGCCCTGCTCAGACCTTATACACAAATTGTAAGTGAGATGAGTGGTCACTGTTTACTCAGTCTGAAACAAAGTAACAATGGACGTCATCATGAACTTGTGACAGAAGCGTCGCTCATTCTCTGAGTGGTGGCGACCCATATGCTTATTTTACCATACCACTCGGTCCTCCTTGTCTGACACATTTCATTTTTTTAAATTGCACCCTTGCACAAAAGCAGCATAAAAGAAAAAAAGAAAAAATAAGACCCCCAACAATGCGGCTATCTTTGGTTAGGACCTCAGAAAGGAATGGTTTGTTTTCTTCATCTTTATCTGTCCTGCCTAAGATGGCCACCTGTCTTATAG